ACAACTGTACGTCAAGGCTCTCTAATGATAAAGATTATATCATATCAAGCAGAGAATTTTTGGATCCAAGCAGCTCCGGGATCTGAAGATGCCTGCAAAGATGGCGCGGAATTAGAAAATAAAGTTGGAGGTGGTATTTACAGGGAGGAATTTTGCGTATCCGTCAACCAGACCATTTCAGTGCAGCTCTATCACTATGATTGCCCTAAGGCAGTACTTCGAAAAAAAAAAACAGAAGATATTGATACCTGCCTTTAGGCCGTCAGGAGAAATTGTCAGTCCCAATTACGGCGAAATGATAATGACCGTTGGGTTTCTAACAAGATATATTTTTATAGGCAGACATGCCTAACGCCCCGAGGTACGCCGCAATGACTTCGACAGGAGCTGATATGACGAAGGAGACCCTGTTTCAATAGGGCACTCTGCAGGAAAGAGAGCAAGGAGTTCCTAGGTATGGTATCTTTAGGTGATCTAAGCGCAACTGCAAAGTTCAGAATACGAAATTTGCTGAGGTTCATAGACACCAAGAACTGGTTAAAAATATAGTTGTTTGTGGATCCCACTAGCGACTAAATTGAAACTCTTTCGTATCACGCATATAGCTCACCAATTTGAGTTAGTGTTTTCTGCATATTAATGAAACTTAATCATAATCTCAATCTCATGCTTAATCTTAATCTTATCCTTAATCTTAATCTAGATCTTAATTTTATTCTTAATCTTAGTAATCTCAATCTCAATTTCAATCTCAATCTCAATCTTAATCTTAATCTTAATCTTAGTCTTCTTAATATTAATCCCAATGCTTTTTTTAATCTTAATCTTAATCTTAGTAAACTTAATCTTAGACTCAATCTTAATCTTAATCTTCTAAATCGTAATCTTAGTGTTCATAATCTTAATATAAATCTTTATCTTAATCTAAATCTTAATCTTAATATTGATAGTAATATTAATCTAAATCCTAATCTTTATTTTTGTCCTAATCTTAATATGTATGTTAATCTTTATTTTTCTCTTAATATTAATCTTAATACTAACTTTAATCTATTATTCTTGTTCTTAGGGCCGTTTTACCTACATTACAGACTCCATGCATATATGTAACATTGTGTCAGTAACGTCGGTAATGATGTTTAATTGGGATTTATTGATAACCAGAGTTGGTGAAAACGGCCCTTAACCCTAATCTTAATCGTGTCCAGCTACCCCAGCCATTTTCTCCCTTCTTCCTTCGATCCCAACGATTGTGTCGCTTTTTCGTTAGATCTTTGTTTACATTTACACCCAACCGAACACAAAGAAGCTTCGCTTCATAAGAGCCGGGGCTCTGGATCCAATTGGTAACACAGAGGATTTTCGCTCAGCCAAGGTGTGTTGGCTTTCATCTCAGCTTAGCAGCCACTTCAACCTAACTAAGCCTAGCTTTTTTTTTTGATTGGTGAGGCCCAATTAAATATGTGAAAAAGCGATTATATGAGGTGGTAGGCGGTGGCATTCGCAACTTCCAAAGTTGTATATTTAACAATCAAGTTTCGTCATAAAACATTACCCCATACATATATTTTAGTTTTGAGCGATATGGCGCCATTACCAAATGAAATATTCTGTTTTTTGTTTCCAATCATGAACATTTTTAGATCCTCATTGCTTTTATTATTTGATCTCTGTTTTCAGGCCGCTCATACACTGCTTACACTACCTACTTACTTTGTTCACGAAAAACTTTGGGTTGACATGATTGATGGCAGAGTGCAACCTGAACATTATAATTGCCACTATTGGAATCTAATGCAGAAATATATGGGTGTTGAACCGCCAGTAGAAACCAAAGCTGGCGTATATGATATGCCTTATAAGTTCTACGAAGGCATTGTTGATCAGTTTCGGAGCACAAAGTAAGCAAAGTGATAGAAAACTGATGCTAAATATATAAGTGTGTGGTAATATTCTTTACAGAAAATTGTTTGATGAATTTTTGGGCTATCAAATTTATCGCGTCATCTGCTTGAACATTGGCGAGTATGAGCGTCGTAATGCCTACAAGCCATTGGATAATTGCGACTTTTACGGAAGCAAACATGCAGGGAAATTTCTGTAGTAAGTAGCTGCTAAGGAATTTAATTAAAATCTATTTATCATCAGCGCAAATAAATTATTTTGACTTTAGACTAACAGAAATGTCTCTAAACTGATCTTCTATTTTTTTCTTCTGCAGCGACATGATGAGCGCCGGCTCCTCCAAGCCCTGGCGTGAGGTCATCAAACCATTAACCGTAATTCATTTGACAAATATGACTGCCACAGCATTCCTGGAGTACTTCGAGCCCCTGAACACATGGATCAGCGATGATAATGTGAGCAAGAATCTGCGGGTCGGCTGGATGCCAATCGACAGTAAGTGCACGTGTCATTAGCCAAACGTATTCTCACGCTCTTTCATACATTGCTGTCACAAGCCACAACTGTCTTTCACCTAAATATTCGCATTTATGTTTGTTAGGGTGGTCCTTAAAATCCAATTAGCGATTTTTTTTTTCAGACTCACTCCTTCAATCGGTCACAGATATCACATATAAATGTTGGTCCTTCAAAAGGGGTATCTGAATTTTGACCTCTGCGCGCCACGCCTTAACCAAAATTTATATGTGATATCTTCGACTATAGTAGCATCGACGTAGGGGTTGAGGCTTAGGAAATCTGATTTAAAAATTTGCTTCCTGCATTTAAAGACCACCCTAATGTTTATATGTATGCATTTTCTTTTCACTTGCAGAATGTAAGCGTGGCACAGCGCCGCTACCCAATGCCACCAACGTGGCTTATTGAACAAAAACAAAAGTGAAAGGCGTAAATGCGTGGCACATGTCAGCACGTTTCAAACTGTAATCTGTACAGAATCTCAAGCAGTGACAAAACTAACGCCGCAGCTACTCGTCAACAGCATCATCGTACACCCACGCTTTCTTAACTATAGACATATGGGTGCACTTATTTGCACGTATATAAGTAGTAGCATAAATAAATATACAGATACTACATATGTATGCACATATTAATGTGTTTTTTTTATTTCCGCTCAAAACGGATGCAGTTGTTGAATACTCGCAGATTCATAGAAACGTAATGTCAACGAGAGTCACATTCATTTGCGCAAGCGTTGATGAAATTTCTGTTTAACATATCGCATAAAAAGCAATCTTTTGATACTGTTTATTGCAGTTTATTTCAAGTGGTGCCACGTTTTCATTGTCGAATTAAAAAAGTTATTTGTGAATAAAAGCAAAGCAAAAGTAAATTGAAATATGTTTGAGGCATTCACAGAAAATGGCGAAATTTGACAGGCGCAGTAAAGTGAATATTTATATATATATATATTTTGTTTATTTAATGTTTGTTATTTTTTTATGCAAGTATAGCTCGTTATCTAACAGTAACCACATAAGTCAAAATTTCAAAACTTGCGAAATTCGAAAGAGTTTCATAAAAATTTTCAACATTTTAATTAGGTTTCTATGAAACATTCTGAGTATGCAGTTTTAAGGCCCTTTCAGTTCAAATTTTAGGTAGCTAGGACTTACCGCTGATTTTTGGCAATTTTTTTGTGGAACGTGTGCTCATAAAAGAATTCTCGACCATAGTTTGCATGGAAGAAAATACGTGAACAAAAAATGAAAAACTTGAACTTATTTATATTATAATTTAATGGGCTACAAAATTGCAAACTGAAAGAAATTCTAAAAAATCAGATTAAAAATTTAAAATTGTATCCAACACTTGTTAAAATTCGTCGAATGTTCTAAATGTTAAATGTTCTACATATTTTTTTATAGATAGTAGACTATATTTTCATAAAACAATTATCATTTTTAAACAAAGAAAAATAACTAAAACTTTCTAAAAACTCGTATCCCTATTTATATTTTCGCCACCGTATGTGATATATGTACTTATATCGCTTCTAATCCACGTAATTTCTGTTGAAAGAAAAAAGCGAAAATTATTGTTTTAAATATTTAAAAGAGCCAAATACCTACTCATGTATGCCGTCATGTTTTATATTTCGGTATGGACTTTGCCTTTTATTTTTTGAATTTGCGGAACTCTTCGTGATATATTTTCATGTTCAGGTCTCGTTCAGATGATATTTTCGTGGATTCTTTTCGGGAAAAATACTTTGGTGCTCCTATGAATAAACATTGAGCAGTACTGACGTAAATACTGATTCTTACTGACATCCAGAGGAATTGGTCAGCTTGACGAAAAAATTGGTCAGAACTGGGATGCATTTCAGCAATAATGCCTCAAACATTATTATTATTGTTATGATTAGGAAATAAAGTGCTGCGACTTAACTAGATCTACTGTGCTAACGCTTAAGTCACCCCAACCTTAAAGCTTAAACAGACGGCAGCGTTGATCCGGATCAGCTCGGACTTAATCGCGATCAACTGCAGTTAATTCCCGAGTTGATCCGGATCAACGCTGCCGTCTGTTTATGCCTTTGGGCTATTGTTGAAATGAAGCACTTTGAAGGGTATCATATTCCAGATTCTCGATGGAGATGTCATGTCCCGGAACCCACCACTGTTATTGGTTCCTAGGTTTTCCAGCACCATTTTTTGCAACTGCCTATTAGCTTTGAAATCGTTTTTCAAGAGTCTTCCATTGGTTTTAGATGGTTTTTTTGTATTAGCATCATGTTGCTAGGGTGCTTTGGCGTATGTACCATTTGCCTATTAACCGGCAACCGATTAGAAAAGGCACAGCATATGTGTTGTTGTTGGCTTCTATACAATCTGGTGTCTGGTCAACCGTCGAGCGCGACGTATGAGAGGGCAGTATGCTCTCAATTATTCCCTATATGCACACATTATACACACATATGTATGTATGTTGTATACCTCAACTGATTTAAAAGTATATTTTGAGCAGCAGATAAGCGCAACTACTCTTAAAGGCATTTTATGAAAAACTTGCAGTCTCCTTCGCGGCTTTGGCATAGCAGCATCGTACATTAGCAGCAGAAAAGTTTAAGTACTTTGAGATAAAACAAAGTAATTTTTAATTTTAAAGCCCCTGAAATAGTGAAATTTGGACAAAAATCGTATTTTCTTGAATGAAAAAGTATTTTGTGTAAGTTAAACAACAAAATTCTAGTAACCAAGAAGTTCTGTGTGAAAGTGTTGCAGTAGAAAATCTCTGGCTTATCTTACTATGCAACAATAAAATATACTACTGTTTAGTTAGTGAAACTCTTTGATTCATAATTTTTTCATAATAAAAGCTAAAATTTCAAATTCACACCACGATCGAGCGAAAAGCGTTAAGCAAATATGAGATAACGATTCTTTCATAAATTTATGTTTGTAACATTTTGCAATGTTTTGGTTTATTCCATTTTTTTTTTTATTCACACACAGCATTCTAATCAGCGTTCGCGGCGTGCTTTTTTCTTTTCGTTTTCTGTCTTATCGCAGTTTTTATTCAAGCTTGCATTGAGCGGGCGCGTATCAAGCTTTTTTGGTTTTTATTTAGTTTTTGTTTGTTTTTATTACATCGACCACACTTCACTTTTTATTCTGTGCATAACAATGTTATTCCGATAAGCCATGAATTTTTTTCCTACACTGCTTTTGGTCTTCTTTCCTTTTGTTCAGCCATTCTTGCTTTCTGAATGCCTGCAAAATGACCAATATTCGCTCAAACACGCGGTGGCCTGCATTGGTAAGTAAATTGCTACAAAATAAATCTTACTCACCATCAACTCAATTTTCAAAAACTAATTTTTCAGCTGCCAAATGTCGCTTTCGCGCTTTTACCCCTTCTCCTGCTCTTCGTTTCACTACTCTTCACGCCAACTACAGCGCTTGCGGCAGCTACAGCTTCCGCCGCGACACCCACTACTACCAATACCACCGCCAAGGTGAAATATCCGCATGCCGCCACCTATGAGGCGCACGCCAAGCAATACTTGGAAAAGGCTTCGGCACGCATGCAGAGCATTTGGACGCGGCGTCGCAACAGTTTCTTCAGCCTCACCACCAAGGGACGTGGTTACAATGCCATCAATCAAGCGCCAATAAAGCAAGAAATCGAAAATGACTATCGTCACTTGGTCTATTCGCTGGCGATGAATCTCAGCACAATACCGGTAATGCAGCTGAGCGATCCAATATTGCGAAGACGTGTGAGACGGCTCGCTAAATTGCAACTCTATGGTCTAACAGACGAGGACTATGAGGAGGCCAAGGATCTATTGCATACAATGCAAACATTTGTCACCACGCGCATGGTTTGCTCGTTGGGTGATTGTCAGCAAACGGTGAGCGGGAGGAGTGCTGAAAATTAGAGGATAGAAAAGAAATTTAATATTTTTTGCATGCGCTTTGTTAGGTTGCCATGGTGCCGACGATACTGAATCATGCAGTGCGTACCAAGAGTTTGGCAGACTTGGAGTACTTCTGGAGGCAATGGCGCTCAGTATTGGCCGATCGCGATCGTGCCAAATCTGCATTCATTTCCTATGTGCGACTACTTCGACTGGCAGCGTCATATAATGGTAAGCTTTAACTCTAACCATCAATTGAATATGAAAACGATCATGACGACGAAGGCGGATAAGAAGACGAAGACAAAGACGAAGGTGAAGACGAATAAGAAAATGACGGCGATAACGAAGACGAAAACAAATTCAAACACGACGTATGATACGAATACGAAAACCAAGACTAAAAGACGACCGAGTCGAGTACGAGGACGCAAGCGATTACGAAAAATAGGACAAATGAGACGCTGACTACAAATAAACATGAACACGGATGAAAAGGAAGATAAAAGACACGATAACGAATAACAGGCCACTTCTGGCTAAGACAGTAAATAGTCTTTCGTAAGACAAATGAAAGATAGATGACAAGATAGCTCGAAAGACTTTTGTCATTCTAGCACAAAAGTGTTAGAAAAAAAGCTCCCTTGTTTACCACTCGCGGTGAAAAGCTATTTTTTGAGAGAAAGCACTTGTATGTCATTTAGTCCGCGTCGCTTCAACGATCGCAATCGCCGAGTGAGCAGAGCGTAGGCGTGCCGTTCGAAAGATCACGAGTTTGAGTCTCGGGCGGCGGAAGTTTTTTTTCCTTTTTTAATTAAATTTCTTTATTTTTAATTAAGAAGAAATCATTGAAATTTCATTTAATTTCTAAAAACATTTATATTCTTATTTTTGCTATATTTTCATTATTTATTTATTTATTTTATTTTTTTATTCTTTACTGTTGATTGTTTTAAAAAAGAGAAATATTTATGTTTTTTAAATTTAATTTAATTAAAAAAACTTAAAAGGCTAACAGCATAACGCTGAGACCTCCTCGTTAGCAGATCTTCCAATTAATCTTTCGAAAGACAGCAATAAGCCTTTAAGATAATTAACTGTCTTACGAAAGACTTTTATCTTGACTGTGGTGAGGAGAAAGACAGCTGCAAGAATTGTCCTGTAAGACGTCGAATAGGTATGGTATATCGAACACGAATACCAGTTAGTTAGTTAAATACAAAAGCAAACACAAAAACGACGACTGCCATTTTACAATTGCAGTTACCATTACCATGAGCATTACCTATGACATTGCCATTATCATTAACTTTACTATTGCCATTACTATTGGCATTGTCATTACTGATACCACTACCATTAACTATACCTTTACCATTACCATTGTCATTATCATTGCCAGTATCATTACCATTACCACTAACATTGTCATTACCATTGCCAATACCATTACTATTCCGATTACCATTACTATTTCTTTACCCTTACTTTTGCATGGCAGGAAAAAATACCCTAAAAAATTAGTTTATTTTCTTCGATAATAGATATTATAAATTTAAAAATAATAACGAATATTTTTAAAGAAAAAGAACTCATAAAATAATCAATCTATAGCGAAAATCTCCAGTTTTGAAATGACACAAAAAACGCCAAAAACCCGTAAACTGAACTTTGATTATTTAGTTTTTCTAGATCTGGGGGCCAATTCCTGTTCTGTGACAACGTGAAGTGAAAACATTTTTCATAACTTCACATACAAATACGATTCGGTTTGTAAATTTAAAAAAATTAGCTTGTCAAAAATGTTTCACTGTGAAATTTTTTTTTTCCAAAAGTTTTGTGCATGGCGTATCTATGAGTGACATGTTACATGTTAAAGTATGATTTTTTACATTGGCAACGCGAACTTAAAATCAAAATGTCTTGGGAAAATTATCTGATCTTGAAAAATTTTATACACACCCGTAATCCGAAATTAAGTTTACGTTCATCGGCGTTTTTGTGTGTTATTTTAGCGTTTGTACAATGTTATTAATAGTAATTGTAAAAAACTTAAGAAATAAAAATCAGTGCCGCTGAAGGTAGTCCGAGTAACACGGAGTATGTTGGTTCAGTTGATATTTAAAACTTTATTATTCCGGTCCCTGGCTTAAACCTAAGAAAAAATTTTTGTTATGAAACCTAAGATGATTTCACTGTTTCAACCTTAAAATGGACTATTGACTATTTAGTGCTTGCAGCGCTAGTAACCCAAGCTGCTATTAGCAATTAGAATCACCGCAAAAGTAGTCGTGGTACGAAGTGCACAAAAAAAAACAAATAAGGACGCATTACATAAGTAAAATTTACGCAAGTCATCACTGTTTCGGTTAACAACAAAACATATTTACTCCCATGCAATCGCGAGTAAGAGTAGGTATTGTCAGCCAGTAGAACTACCAACCTAATTTGCGGACAAAGCGCACCACAAAAGCACACACTCAGCAAATCATTTGAGCACCGGCACAAGCATACAAACTGATGGATATTGATTGAAAAGGGAGGTAACATAAAACCCACATAGTTATATACTCATTGCATCCACTTCCCCGGTTTTGCGATTACTTTGGCAAAGCAGCCAGCAGCCAACAGTCAACCGGCCGTACAGTTAATGGCAAGTCAGTCGATCGAACGAATACTATGCCTTCAATGTGTCGGGCATGAAATTGCGAATAGATGTCGTAAATTGCATTTAAAATGGCACATACAACTGGGTAATTAAAGCACACACACACACATAAACAACCAAGCACTCGCTCATTCACACTTTGCCTCAGTGGAAGTATCCCTGCAGTGAAAAGCCAACCCAGTCAGTAAAGATACCAGTTCGTGACGTGGTATAAGCTAAAGCGATGACCTAACCGTTCCAAAATTTTGAACAGCTTTTGCGTTTAGCGACATCTGCCTTTGAATTGTCAAAGTCAAAAACTAAATAAATAAAAATAAATTGCAAATTTTAAAATCGAATTTCTTTTGAGAAAAAATATGTGCATATATATATGTAAACAAATACTTGTGCCATACAAATTAAATGAACTTAAAAAAAAAATCCTTTTTAAAAAATCAAATTTAAAAATCAGAAATAAAAACCTACACATTAAAAAAATTCCCTGCCCGAGAACTTGAAATTCGGACCTCAGGAATGGCACGTCAGTGATCTGCTCTCTCGGCCATTGCGACTGTTGAAGCGCCGCGAGCAAAATGACATATTTACTCGTCATCTCGTAGAACACCGCCATGTTAAAAATACCAATCACTAACAACGGAAAATCCTAGAACTAGTTGGACTGAAACGCATACTGTTGGCAATCTAGGTCACAACTAGTAGCTTTCCCTGCTGGGATGTGATTTCGGTGCAAACGTGCAAGAATGTGTGTATGTGTGTGTGTGTGTGTCTACGCACATAAATATATTAACTAAATTGGCCGGTGGACGCATAACCCGAAGGTTCGAATAACAACTAGAACGGACGTTAATAATGTGCTGCAACGGAACGGTTACGAGCAAGCGAAGTGGTAATGAGGCAGGCAGTGGCCATGCGATTGACAAGAAATCAATGAGAACAAGATGCCATTCAACTAATCACAATTGAATAGGACACTTACGAACGAACACCAATGCCATCAGCGATGTGGTATGTTCACTGCACATGCACAGCACAGCATACATACATATGTACATACCTATTTTAAATGCTTATCTTTACCTTTTTCACATTTACACTTCTATGTCCAACTTATCTTGCTTGCCACTTAAATACTTACATATGTAGATTGTATGTACGTTTGCACTTCACACAGGCCACATAACCCCATCACGTACCTGGTATCTGTATTACGATACGGATAATTTCCAACGTGAGCTCGAGGATGTCGTTTGGGAAATAATGCCACTGTACCAGGAATTGCACGCCTATCTACTCAAATGTGTGCGCAACACCTATGGTGAGAAATTAAATGCTGATGATGGTGCCATACCGGCGCATGTATTGGAACAAATTGTACGGCAAGCTTGGTCACCGCGTACAGTGTTCCGCACACCATTTCCCAAGAATCAATTGCCAACGGTGCAGCAACGTCTGGAGGAGATACTTGTGACATCATTGAAGATCATTAAGAAGGCGGCAGAGTTCTTTGAGTCAATCGGACTGAATCACATGTCAGAGTAAGTAGTGTTAAAATTAGAATTGAAGGCTGTAGCTATGGACTCTGGTAAAAGTAACATTTTACATTAGTTTCCGCAATAGCAAATGTCGAGCTTAAATACTATATGCAATACGAACCCGTTAAGATATGCTTATATCATTGAGATAGGTATAATAATATACTATGGGTATTCATTTAAACTCGCAAATGCTTCGTGACCGTAAAAATCGGTTTCCCATGCAAAATTAAGTAAGTTTATGAGGTTTACGTGGTTTCGAGTCATTTACGCTTTTAGATGATTTCCTATAGTATTAACAAGTCAGTAAATTAGGTCAAACGATTACTTTAGTCGAGCATCTGGGCAATATAATAAATAATTTAGAGGAAGCTATGACAAAAGCTTTTGAGAGCTCAACTCCAAAAAGTATAGCTCGTAATAAAACGCCGCTGTGTTGGAATGGAGAACTCAGAAGTCTGAAAGACAAGTTTGGAAAACTCTTTAATGAAAGCTATAAGGGCCTTGTAAAAGTACCATAAGGTCGTAGCAATAGAACTAAGGAAAGCTTCGGCAAAATCCCGACAATCCTACTGTTCGGCCATAGAAAGTTCCAAGGACTCTGGAAGGCTCAGAAAATGTATGTTCAAAATTTATTCCAACTAAATAAATAAATAATGTTGTGTGGATAAACTCAGCCGAAGATTCCTTGGAGACACTAGGAAAAACACACTTCCCGGGCAGCACTTCAGATACAATCGCTTCTGGTTCAACTAGTTTGAGCTCACAAACAGTAGATTGTTGGACTCATATATGCTATAAGCAGCTTTCCCCTCTACAAATCCGCAGGGACGGATGACATAATTTCGGCAACGCTACAGTGGAAGAAAACAGAACTAATACTTCAATTAAGCTCTATATTTAAAGCCACCATCATTTTAAGTTACATTCATTCCTAAACCAAGCAGAAAAAACGAAACAGCAAAAGGTTTCAGAGTTTTAAGCATTTCCTCATGTTTACTTAATACAACGAAAAAACTCCTAGTCATCTATATAAGATCGCTATTAGAGGAAGCGACCCTCTCGAACGCGCAACATGTGTACACTAAGGAAAGATCCACGGAAACCGCTCTAAACGAAGAGGTGAGTCTCGTGGGCCATTCTTGACATTGATGGCGCATTTAAAAATATCAAAGTCAACACTATTGCAGACTGCCTACTTAAACAAGGAGTTGATGACAGTGGCTGGAGATGGATACGATCGATACTAGACTGCTAGATCGGACTTTGTCCATGACCCACCATGTGAGTAGAGGCACCCCACTGGCAGGCATTCTCGCACCATTTCTTTGGCTAATAGCGCTGAATGTCATTCGGAAAGATCTTAAAAAAGGGACGTAAAAGTAATGTGGCGTACATTGATGAGTTTGCACTAGCAGTTATGGGAACTTTCCACTCAACTATAAGCGAAATACTCGGAGGAGCACTTGTCTGGATTCCCGGCAGGAGCCTACTTGGAGGAATCCGAGACTATTGCACTGGGATGCCCCCTCCGAGTCGTTCAAAGAGAAACTTTTTTTTTTGACTAGCAAGGAAAACGTGGTCAGATATACAGATATGCAAAATAGCCAGGAAACTCTGGTCTGACTATTTATAACAGGACAAAGACACTAGACCTGCATCATAGATCAAGGCAGAGCTATTTAGAGTTGTAGCAACCATTACGGGCCACTGGCCCATAGGCAAACATGGAGATAGAATGGGGCTCCCATAGAGTGGAACTTGCCACAGGCGTCAACTAGAAGGTAGCGAAGAAAGTGTACAGAATTTCCTGAGGGAATGCACAGGTCTAGCGGCTGTTAGGCATAAAGTACTCGGAAGACACATACATACAAACAAAACTCTCATTTATATCAGGATCTAACATAAGTGATATCGGCAAATTCATCAGGGAATCAAGATAGTTTGACCGAGAAATCTAGATATACATATGTATATAGGTATTTTGCATTCCCACGCTGAACACGATTCTGGAGTCCAAAAGTTCCCATTAAGCCTTGGTTTTGAGAAAAGTTGATTAACTTTTCGGGATTTTCCGAGTGCTTTCATGGTAAATAATACAGTAAACACATTAAAATCATATATTTCTACACATTTTCTGCTAAAAATATGTTTAAAAAATTGTTGGGCTAAAAAAACATACAGAAATAAATATTATGTATTTTTCTTTCTCAAAATATAAATTTTACAGGTTTCATTAGGTTCCACCTGTGCGATATGGTTCATATTTGAAATGTATATTACCTACATGAAAAGTAATAACTTCACAAAAATTTTACCCGATAGGTAGCGCAGAGGCCGAGATATTTGGAAAATATGTACCTTTGGTCGGACCTACATATATTACATAAATAGATTTAAATGACTCCATAAATCATTTAGCCGTTAAGTGGTGCGGGTTCGATTTTTTTATTAACCACTAAAAAAGCTTGTCTTGAAAAAATTTTTTTTTATATTGTTTTTGTGTTTTATTATGAAATGAACGGAATCTGCTCTAGTTAATCGTAATATTAAATGTTTGTGTGCTCACATATCTGCGATTCGCCAATAACTTTTAAGAACTAAGGAATACTATTTCCCTAAAAAGGTCTATTATGATGGTTCAATAATACCTTCACACTTTTTATGCCTCAAACTTTTAGACTAACTAATTTCATTTTGATATCTCTTCTTTCTTCCCAGTTCATTCTACGAACGCTTTTCACGTCGCATTGGCGATGAAGAACTCGGGCCCGATTGTCGCGCCGAGGTATTTTACTTTCCACCCCATGCCGCTCTGCGCTATTGCCCCAAATTGGATTATAAGAAACTTATGCAAATGCATGGAAATATGGCAGAACTGCAATACAATCTCTATCGTGGACAATTGCCTTTCGGTGTGGACAGTGAACCTTGTCCAGGTTTTGCTAGTGCTATAGGCGAGGCAGCTGTTATAGCCTCGGGCACGCCGCGACATCTCAATCGGCTGCATATACTCTTCAATCACAGCCTAAACGAGGAGCAATCGATGAATCGGCTATTCCGCATGGTGAATGGAGCTCAAGACAAATCTTTATAGGAGTAACATTTTTTTTTTCATATTTTCTTTCCCCTTTGTTCAGGGTATTCACACGATTTTAGCCATACCGCAGTACTTCATTAACGACAAGTTTCTGGTTGATGTTATGGATGGTCACATTAGTGCACAGGACTTGAATTGCGCATACTGGAGTTTGCAGAATAAATATGCTGGTGTAGTGCCACCGATGCGACGCAATGAGAAAACTTTTGATCCGGATTTCAAATTCTATCATGGGTTGAACCCTGAGAAGCCAAGCACAGTGTGAGTATTTGAATAACACAGGGTAGGGTACGTATTCGGTATGGATATACATACATTTTTAAATGTGAATGCCGGTTTGAGAATAAGTTTTAAACTTGTCTCACTATTTAGAGTACTGTTTACTCTGCATTCTCAGAAGGTTATCCTCAGAGTCACTTAATTATCTACTTAGGAGCTGAAAATAATCTCAGATTGCTGTCCACTGGCGGAAGTCAAAGCGAATGAGGCAATTAAAGAAATTTATAACTCCTTGAAGAAAGAGCTCGGAAATAACTTAGCCGGGAGGGTCTTAGAACTCTTACAGGCTACCTGAAAGGACAATGGAAACAACCCCAGAGCATATTCCCTTTGACGGTCTAACTTAAAATAAAGAAAAAATTAGAGTTGCCACCTGTTTGAAAGTTGCAGTTAAGGTAATTTATAATGAGAGAAATTAAGCATTGCAATATGGCTGTTAAAAAGAGGCTTAAGAAGGCTTACTGCTGAAAAAAATTTGTGGTACGTTGCCTCCTGTTGGAAAATTTTAATTTAATTTACTTAATAAGTTGAATTAAATAATGCAATATGGTTTGGATATGGAGGGCATGGAAGTTTAGAAAAATATTTTCGCGATGGGTTGCCACCTTTTAGAAAAATTTTATCTATTTAAATTGAGAAAACGAATTAAAATTTCACATTTCTGGTTTTAAACTAAAGAGGTTTATGAAAATTTACTAACGAACACATTTTTTAGGGAAGCAGGTTGCCACCTGTTTGAAAAATTGAATTTTGTTGAATTAATAAGATGAGGTTAAAGCTGAATTAGTACTCCTTTGAAGAAAGTGCGCGATATGTAGACTCGAGTTATAAGATTATAAATTAAATTTCCAGCAGAGAACCGATAATTTACTGCCTACCAAAATACCGATATTCACAAAAAACAAAGAATGCTTCATAAATCGAAAATTTCTTTAAAAATAAAGCTCTTTAAATCTACTATATTTTTTAAGAATGAAGCCATAAGAGTTTCGGGGGAATTAACAACACAAAAATACTTTCACGGCGCAGTGAAGCACGGCGCGTATTAGCTAGTAACTAATAGAAATGCGCGTTGCCACCTACCTAAAAAATCCTATTCAACTTGAACTAAGGGAATTAGGTAACGGAATTGTGCACCACAATATGGATGTCCGACGAAATTGGTTTAAGAAGGTTTTAGTTTAAAAATATTTTGAAGTCACACAAAAACATGAAAATTTCTTATGTTTTTGGCTAAGTTATGCTTAGTTTTATTGAAATAAATTGTACCAAATAAAACACGCAGAAATTCCATGCACTCAGCGAAGCGGATGAGAGCAATCTAGTTAAATATTTTTTGATCTAAAGCTTCATCCTGCCCGAAGATTAAAAGCAAAAACTATTACAAAAAGAAAACGATACAAATCCAAATACAGTAGCGCCCATCAGCGCGCGAAACGCATCCAAGTAAAACCGTCAGCGACGTGTTGCGCCAAAAATCGCTTGGCCAAATGCAAACAGATAAATTTTTACGCACAGACTCTGAAGTGCATTTCGCGTGTGTCAAGAACAGTTGGCACGCATCGCGGCCATCGCTTTAAATACATGTCCACACATACACACGCACACACACACACAGAGATTTATTTACTGACGGCCAGTTTTTGGCTGCTGCCATTGGCCAATGGCCATCAACGACCAAACGTCAGCACAGCGATTTAGAAGTTTACGTAGCTTAGTTTTTGCAAAAATCCACATAGGCCCCATATCTCAACTCTACTTATGTATGTATATGTATACATATGTATTTATCTTCACTTTTTCACGTTTCGTTAACAGGAAATTGCTTTCGGAAATATTGGGCTTTCAGTTTTATCGGGCATTTTGTTTAGCCAGCGAACAGTATAAGCCCGGTGACCCGGAGTATCCATTGCACAACTGTGATTTCTATGGCAGCACGAATGCTGGCGATTTGATGAAGTGAGTAAATGCGTAAAATACATACATACATATGTATGTAGAGTGACGCAAACATGTAACCAAGTACATACGCGAACAATTACTGATTTTCAAAAAAAAAAAAAAACATATTCACTTTTGTTCTATGCAACAGGAAAATGATGGAAGCAGGCGCAACCAAGCACTGGCGGGATTTAATGGAAATCGCCACAGGCGAGCGTAAGCTAAGCGGTAAAGGTGTAATGGAATATTTTGCTCCACTCTATACTTGGCTGAAAGAGCAAAATAAAAAGAATGATGTGGAACCGGGTTGGGAGTCGGAGACCAGTGAGTACACAATTTTGTTAATGTAAACATATTTAAAAATTTACATAATATAAAGTTGATGGCAAAAAATATTCGAGACTACAATTTTCACTTTAATTTCTATAAAGAGCGTTCCGTACCGAAATGGACGGGGTTCACACTTCATGTGTTTGATTTGTTTCAAACATTTAGGATGGATGGATAAACATAAATAATAAATAAATATGAAATTTGAGCTTGATTAATACATTTTTAAAAACTTTACAGCCAAAAACAAAAACAAATCGATGTAATAGTTTCCAAATATCTCGAAAAGGGGGCGAGGAAAAAATTTAAAAAAAAATTTCATTTACACACATTAAAATTGTACTTGAAAAGAAATATTTTTTTAATTTTTTTTTCTAGAAAAAATGTTTAGCATAAAAATTTTTTTACAAAAAAAAAATTGTTTTTGAAAATATGCGATCTCAAAAAAAAATTGAAAAAAGTCTCAATGGTAGCTCTGGGTGTTGCGCAATATTTAAGTATAGTATTATTTAATAATTTGAGTTATGAATTTTTTTTACACCGAAGTTGAGTAAAATTAGTACATGACAAATTCACAAATTTCGGAAATTTCTTTGAGTATGCAGTTTAGTATAACAAAGTTCAGGGTTCAAGCTACTGCAAAATTGCGATGATTTTTAATATTTTTTATGCTGACGGCTGTTTGCAATTTTTTCTTATGGAAGAAAATGCGCAAACTCGTTTTCAAAGAAAATTAAAACAAAACTAACGCCAGTTTCACAATTGCTAAAACTTGCACTTCATTATACTAAAACTTACCTATACTACAAAACTGCATACTACAAAAAATTCGAAAAAAATTTTGTAAATTTGTGATGTACTCATTTTACTCAACTTCGGTGTGTAAAAAAAAATCCAAACTCAAATTATTGTAGAGTGCACCCCATAAAACTATACTTAAATATTGCCCAGTACTCAGAGCTACCATTGTAATTTTTTTTTTATTTTTTTTTTGAGATGGTATATTTTAACAAATTAATTTTTTTTTTTTAATTTGTATGTGAAAAATTTTTCAAGAAAAAAATGTTTTCCTCGCCCCGTTCTCGAGATATGTGGAAAACTATTAAATCGATTTGTTTTTATTTTTGTGCTGTAAAGTTTTTAAAAATATATTAATCAAGCTCAAATTTCATATTTATTTATTATTTATTTTTGTCCATCAACCCTAAAAATTGTAAACGAATGAAACACATGAAGTGTGAACCCCGGCTATTTTAGTATGGAACGCCCCAAATATTATTGTATCTTAAAAAGCTGTGGGTCGTTTTGGGCTTACCTTTTAACGCGTGAATAGGTATTTCGCTGCAACGTTGCACTGTGTTCTACTTTGGGACAAACTCAAATATCTATCTTAAGAACAAGAAAAGATAGCGAATCAAATGTAACGGTGTATTAAGGCTTTTAAGATGGAGAATTCAGGAAGAATTCGTCGGATAGAAAAATTACCTTGACCTTTAAAGGGACCTTCTGAAAGTGAAGGTTTTAAATGTTTTCTTTTTTTTTGCCTGCAACCAGTATGCATTAAAGGTTTTTAAGATTTAAACATATTATTTTACTGTTCTTGAGTCAGATAATCCATCTTCATGGTCACAAGGACCGTAACGCATTTTAATTTTTTTTTTTGTTAATTTCATTACTAGCTGTTTCAGATCAAAAAAGATTTACAAAATCTAAAATTTTACGTTTAAAGGTAATTTTAAAGGTCCAGTTGACTGAAAATATACCTTGACCTCAAAACCGTCATTCAAAAGGGAAATTTTTGAATTCATTTACCTAAACTAAAAGCAGTATGCCATGAACTTACAAAAAAAAAATGCGTTTTTTTCATTTTTTGCCATAATGGAAATGGATTCCTTCAGGCAAGAACAACAAAAGTATGTGTTTGAAACCTTTTAAAAACTGCTTGCATACTGGTTTCAGGATCTAAAACTCGAATTTGAACTTTTCAAGAGACTGTAACTTTTCTTATATATTTTTTTGATATTTTCTTTTTATTCAACAGGATGCAGCAAGGATTACTACAGCCCATCATAACTGTATAAAGCAGACGAAGATCTTATCTTACTACATAATTATTATCGTATTACATTACTTAAATTACATAACTAGAAATCGAAATGGAACAAGCTTCAAAAGTTTTATAAAGTATCATACAAAACGAGAAACTAATTTCATCTTAGTAAAAAAGTTGTAAATTGACCATTATAATTCAAAATGTGTACATAAGAGTTATTTTATGATTTGAAGGGGCATTGTGCAAATATTATCGGTGACATCGAGCCCTAACCGCCAAAATAACGTAAGCGAAATTTTTTTCTAAATTTTCTTTTTGATGCTGAAATGCATCTAGATGCTCTAGGAATATTTCTGCATCAAAAATAATAAAAAATTAAAAAATGCCGCTTACGTTATTTTGGCGGTTAGGGCGCGACATTATCAGACTGCAATTTAATGGGCTATAAATCTGTCCCCCAAAAATGTTTAACAATTCTGAGAAAAAGTTTCAAATAGGATGGAAATTTGATGCACTTTTTTTTAGTTTTCACAAAGTTGTAAACTTAGGTTTATATGGGTTTTGTGAGAGATTGAACAGTGTTGTAATTGAAAATTTTTCAAAATAAATAATTAAACATAAGTGGCAAACAATATCACTTTGAAGTGGTGTGCTATATGCACTAGTTAATTCTACCACCTTAATCCCAAATTCTAGTGGACTTTGCATTCCATCATCCCTAAAGTGTTAAAAAAATATATGTATGTATATGTACACATTTACCTCGTTCAGATGCTATGAACAGTCTACCCCGTAAGTGGCTAACAAAATTCTCATGAAACATCCGGCGCGTCTCACTGCTTTTGCATAAGAAAACTCGTGATTACCCAGAAAAGCGCCACCGGCGGAAATGTGGCATAACATTCACAAAGCAAACGTAAATATGTAAAAGTTAGCATGCATAGTACTTATATATGTAAATGAGGGTTTCATTTAGTAGATACATATTTTGTATGTATGTATATTAGACTGCACCACTCCCCACACAAAAAATAATGGTAAAACCTATTATATTTTAAGACTTCCACTAAAATATTTCGGAAAAATATTAAGATTCGCGTGAGGTGGACCGATTTGAAAATACTTCTAAAAATGGAAATTTTAATGAATCAAAATAGTTCCTTAAAGATTTTTTTTTTGAAAAAAATCCCCTCAAATGACAAAACGGTTTAAGCTTAAAAATTTGCATAAAAATATTTTAAAAAAGTTTAAAAAAATTTTCTACGGTATCGTGATGATGTTTTTTGACTTTTTTCAGAGATTGTAATCTGATGTGTCATCTGAGGAGATATTTTTTCAGAAAGTTCGTTAAGAAACTATTTTTATTCATAAAAAAATCCATTTTTGGAGACATTTTAAAATCGGTCCAGCTCACGTAAATCTTAATATTTTTCCGAAATATTTTGGTAGAAGTGTAAGAATATACTAGATTTTGTTATCCCGTCGAAAGAACCGCAACTTTTTTTTGTGATGCAGTCTAATGTGTATGAATAATTTTGTCAAAAACCTATTACATTTACATCATACTCTTATGCTTTGCACGCCAACTCTAGCAGGTGTTCGTACATAATCGACGCCATCATGTGTGTATGATTGTTCATTATTTGCCAAAATACAAGTGAGTAAATTCGGAAGGATAACGTCGAGCGTCAGCAGGCGGATAAAAATCTAAAAGTTCATAATTTAACAACATGCCAGCAATAGAAAGTTTAATGCAAACACGACAGTGTGGTATACTCATACATACAAACATGCATACGTATAAGTATGTACATAAGTGTGTGGATTTTATAAGCACCTAAACATGCAAAATCTGGGTAAGTGTCGGAAGGCTGCGACTACTACGACTAGTGTGTGGCCATTTTGCACTGATACGCACGTGCAGGTGTGTGTGTATATGGAGTTGTGCACGAAAATTTTCTCAGAATACCTTTTCACTACTTGCCTTTTATTCTTTATGCCTTCTATTTATTTTATATTTTACTGCTTTTCTGTTACCGCAATTCAGGCAAAAGCAAAAAGTCTTTTCATTTCGATTTAAATTTACTAGCGGACACCTTTGGCTGCTCTTTTGAGGAATTTTGGATTTAGAAGGCAGGTCGATTCATTTTTTGGTGTTTGAAGTTTTTATTACCTGTTCGTTGCCAATTGGATGCTTATAAAAGATATAAAGATTACATTTTTATTAACCTCCTTACATTAGCCGGAAAGCTTTTATTGAGTAGCTCGTAAAATTCAAGAAGCTATTGACCTTTAAAAAGGATTTTAACGTTAGCATTTATTTTAAGCGCAAAATTTTTTACTTTAAATTTAAATTAAATGCACTGAATCTAAAATTTGAGGAGAATATTTTACTTTGGCATTTTGGTTGACAAATGGACTTGTTAGGATTACTAAGAGCATAGCTTAAACTTTTTAGCTGGTATAGCTCACTATATTTACTGTGCTTGTCCACCCAATGGGCGTTTTTCGATGTGTTAAAATTACCAGCTTGAGTAAGCTGTGTCATCATTTGTAGGACATCTAAATAAGTTACTATTCAGTTGTAAACCCTCTTATCAGCACCATGAAATTAATGCCTGCTTGCGTTGAAAATCGGTATTTGTTTTTTAGCTTACCACAAATTTATTGCCACCTAATCTTAAATCTTGCAGCGCTATTCAAATTATGAAATAACGGTCTCATCTTGCAGTATTTAGACTGGATCCCTCATACTTTATCACGGCTCGTTTAATCTGAATAGATTTGATGATAATTTACCCTTATATTTTCTAACTTTATTTTTTTCATGGTAAGGAAAACAAATCTTCGGATGCATCACTTTTAACAAATCTCTATTAAAGGTAAGATTTTCCTCAACAGTCTGTAGTCCAGCTATATCCTGTCATGATTGTATACTATTTTATTGGACGATTTAATAGGAATATATTACAAGACAGGTAAAGCCCTATTGTGGTAATCATTCACCTACTGAAAATATTGTTTCAGAACTTCGAATTAACTAGCAAGTAACCGCCGTGCTTCAATACGCTTTAAAGGTAGTTTTGGGCTATTACTCCATCCTAAAACTCTTATAGCCTCAATCATAAACAATAAAATAGATTTAAAAAGCTTTATGAAGTGAGATTTTCAAACAAATTTTCGATTTATGAAGCATCTTTAATTTTTTATGAATCTAGGTCTTAGCTAATATGTTTTAGAAGATATTTAGAAAGAAGGTAATATATCGGTATTCGCCTGGAAACTCAATTTATAATCTTATAACTCGAGTCTACATGTTGCGCACTTTCTTCAAATGTGTACTAATTTAATATTTAAATTTTTCAAAAATATTTTCGACAGTAAACTTTTGTAATATTTCATTTATTTTATCAATTTGAATCAATAACCTTTTTCAAACAGGTGGCAACCCCCTCAATTATATTTCAGGTAGTAAAACTTTCTAACCTCTGTAATTTGATGCACATATTGCAATATTTAATAAATCTTATCAATTAAATTGAATTAAAATTTTCAAACAGGTGGCAAGCTTTCACAAACATATTTTCAGCTGTAGGTCTTCTTAAATCTCTTTCTTTTGATGGATATATTGCAACATTTACTTTATCGTATCAATTTATTTAAACTTCAATTCTCAAACAGGTGGCAACTCTCCAATTTTTCTTTTCTATATTGGACCTCTACCAATACATTGGTGGAGAAGGACATGGCATTCCCAAGAAAGCTTAGGCCAATAAAGAAGAAGAGGAGAGAGAGAGGTTAGGATCTATTAAAAACTTAGTATATTTTCCTGTGAAAGGTAGCATGTTCTCAAGTAGTCATTTTAAGATATGGTGCCACCTGAAAGATCTTTCATTACAGAGGAAGAGAATTTCCTTCCACTTTCCTTGTTGTTGTTAAATTAGTATAAAATGTTCTTATTGATGCTGCGACCCAGAGTAATGCCAATCTTTGAATATTATTAATACGAAATATTATGGCAATCCTTTGGTATTCCCGATCACCACACGTCGAAAGCATATCCAAGAATTTGACTAGTTGCCATAAAATCACGCGACCTGTTCCTGAATCAAGCATGTAGGTAGTTCCGCATACGCAGTAGCGTCTAATGTACAAAATTCTATAAAACGGAGCAATTTCCAATCAAACCTTGAATCATCACTAATAATTTACTTTCTCTTCTTGCTATATTATTTAAAAAAAGACGGACTTTATATTCACTTTAAATAATCTGATAAAGCATGTACTTTTATATCACAGAAATAATGCAAAAAAAAAGATTTCAATAACAAATAAATTTGAAACATTAATTCTCCTAACAATTGTCCACCGATGGCCAATTTCACTTCTTATGTATTCAGCCTCATGCCAGTTCTCCACCGCAAGCAATTGAGCTATATTTATATTTAAAACTTTTCGAGCTCTACAGCTGACCAACTGGATCACACTTACATACATACGCGCCTGCAATTGGTTACATTAAATATATATGTAAAATAATTTATGTATGTACATATCTTAGTGTGTAAGTATGTAAATATACATACATATGCATGTGTTGGTTAGTAAAGAAGAGTTAAAGGTTCAGAAAATTGGAGTAAAGGCATAAAGTGGCTAACAAATGCTGTAGAAAAACTGAAAACCTTGAAAATTCTGAGAACTTTGAAATTAAATGCAAAGCTGGGAAAAGCTCCAAAAATGTAACTAAACCAACTGCATAAAATGTAAAATGTAAAATGGAAAATGAAAACGAAAAGGACAAGCAAGTTGTAGTTGAAAAAGTAAATAAATTATAAAGCAAAGCGAGCATAGCAAACTATGTAACAAACGGCACGCACACACACACAGCCAGAGGCCCACCATCAAAGGTATTTATATAAATGTCGGCCTGTTGGCTGAGTAAATATATTTTATTTTATTTAAAGTGCAAACACAGGCGCGCGCTCTCACTCTGCACACTTCCGGTCAGTCAACAACAACCAACAACGCTGCCAACATAGTGAACGCCTAAAATATTGACACACACACAGCCATAAACAAATATGAACACGCAAACACACGAAGGCATACATTTTCGAGACTTGTTTGCACTTTAGTGGCATTTTTTTCGGTTTTTGACTGCGCGAGGGGGGGCGGGGGGGCGATGGGTGGTTAAAAGTTAAACTCGTTAAAG